GTAGGTGTTCAGGCACCAGACCGCAGCTAGAGGCGTCAGGGTTACTCCAGTTTTGTCAAGCCAGCCTTTGTGCCTCACTGCGAGGTTCCGAGTTGCCATGCTATGGCTTGGGGGTGTTTTGTTTGTTTTCCCCCGCCTGTCTTCTGTACTGTCTAACTGTTCTGTATAGACTGTCTGTTTACTGTACTGTTATAAAGGGATTAGGTCCCCGTACTGTGTGACTGTAAATTTTGTATAGACCGTACTGTTTTGTACTGACGGAATGTTTTCTGTACTGTTATGTAGGGTTGAGTCCCTAGTTTGAATGGATGTCAATATTGTACATACTGTTCTGTATTGCTTGTGTATAAATGTATGAAAACCCTTTTTGCATACAGACTGTCACAGCTCAATGGACACTATTTACTTGTTGTATTGGCTTCCGCCAGGCCCTGTACTCTGTTTCACTGTATTACTGTTCTGCAGGCCTTCGGTGATCTCGGATTACTGGCCGGTTACGGTGCTAAACCCATAGGGCCGGGTTTGGGTCGTGACAGGAAGGAAGGCAGTTGTGATTAGGTGATGATCGATAAGGTTTATGCTGACAGATGGGATAGCAGAGCCACGTGTTAGGAGATGACTGGGAGTGGATATGGGGCGCAGAGGGTATATAAGTATGTCTGCGCCCCCCATACGCGACACACGAACATTCTGTAAGGAAATTCTTACACTCATTCACTCATCTCTCTCTCTCTATTCTAAGGTGTGTGCTAACTTGATCGTCGGAGGGTTTTTCCGGCCACACATCACCGGGTAGCTCACCCTTATTGGCTCGCAGGTGATCGGACAGAGACGGAGCTCGGAAGAAAGGAGTACGGGCTTGTCGGAATATTTGCTCCCCGTACACATTGCAATTTGTATGAGACATTGATTGATTAATTACATTACATTTCACCATATTTGAAGGTGAGGAATAATAATAGTTCAAGCCAAGTTGAAATACCTCCAATGGGTACTGAGCAAAACATGGCAATGAGGAGTAAGGCAAAGGTTGCTGCTGTAGGAGGTAGTGGCAGTCAACCAAGCATGGGCACCAGGGCAAAGACAACAGCTGCAAGACCTAGTGCCAGGCAACCAAGCATGGCCACCAGTGCAAGGGCAATAGCTGCAAAAGGTATTAGCAGTCAACCAAGCATGGCCAAAAGGGCAAAGGTAGCACCTGTATGAGCCAGTGGTAGCCAACCGACCATGGCCAACAAGGCAAAGTCAAGGCCAAGCATTGAACCATGCATGCCTACCATGGCAAGGTCAACACCACCACCTGGATTTAGTTGCATTTCCACAACTCAGTCATCAACATCTGCACCTACAGACTCATTCATGTTTAGGGGGAGAAGATTTGCGTCCTTGTCTCCACAGAAACAAGCTGCAACTAGTGCAACCAACAACAAGACTGCAAATTAGTAGCAGTCAAGGACAAGGCCCAATTGTCTTTTGTACATGAACTGTTATGACCTACTGTTTTTTGCTAGGGTTAATAATGTTGATCAATTTTTTGTAGTTACACTTTTTGACTAGATGTGCTCATTATTTTGCTGGTTTGTAATCACTTTTGTTGATCAATTATTGTATTTAGTTTGTTTTTTGTTGGTGAACAATGTGATTATCTTTTGTTGTTTAATGAATGAATATTGACTAAGTGTCTTTGTTTTATTCTTATTGCCTTTTGGCATCGTATAAATATTACCAAATCACAACACATTGTACATTTGTATGTAATCTAATTGCCATCTAACATTGATCACAAAGCTCATAAAATTCAATACATAATCTTCAAATGGCATTGCAATTCACTAAAATACAAAGCCCATTTCATTTCAGCCATTCAGACAACATTACACACGGTTATCATTGCATATGCTATTCTAGCATTGTTTACAATACTAACACAATCCAAATTCAAAACATTAAAACATGAAACACCTAAATCTACAATTCTCATTCCCATTATGTTGAATCATTGCCATTGTTGCTACCAGCAACTTCCCTATCTTGCTCTGTTATGAGGTAGCACCACAAGAAAAATATCCATGACATCACTACAAAGATCAGCAGCTTCATTTCTTTTCCTCTATGCAATCGAACTTGGTTTTCAATGACCCTAATTCTTCTAAGTAATCCATTAATCACCTCTTGAACTCGGGTACCAGCAGGAGGATCAGCCCACATGAAGAACCCACAAACACCCCTACTCTGCATTTATCAAACAAAAAAAAAAAATTCAACCGAAAATGATTCAACAGAGGATAAAAATATATATATATATATATATAACAAGGGAAATGGTGTTTTTGAATTGGGGATAGGACATTTGTACGTGTGTCAAAATATAGACCATCAAATTGATTTAATCTAAGGGTTGAAAATATCCTACTCTCATTTGTCCTATTTGGACATTTCAATGGTTTAGATCAATTTTACTAAGTTTAATAAATGGTCCAGATTTAGCTTTGGTTTAATCAATTTTGCACTGAATAACTTCTTCCTCTTTCTCCCACAGACGTCTTCTTCCTCTTTCTCTCTAATTTTGATTTCAAAATTTGGAACTTCATTCTCTCTCACACCTCTACATCTTCTTATTTCCACCAAGCTTTCTTTCTCTAGAAGTTTAAGTAATCTCTGGTGGTGATTTCCTCCGAAGGAATACAACCCTACTGAGAGGGGGTGATTTGTATCATCTGGCTCAATGTTTTCCTCCTCTCTCTCTACACAGCTCCAAGGTAAAAGGCTAAATCCTCACATTTTTGTACTCTCGCTTTTGTTATTGTTCTATTGGGTTTGTTATTGTTCCATTGGGTTTGTTGTTGTTCAATCTTTGCCTCCCCTCAGCTATTTTTTTTTTTTTTTGAAGAGGGTGTGTGAATCTAGGGTTTTATTTGGGTTTTGGATTTTAGATTTTGATATGATAATCAATCTTTGCCTCTTCTCTCTGTCTCCCTCTCACTTTTTTTCCTCTCTTTTAATTGGGTTTGTTTTTCTTTTTTCTTATTTGTTACCAGCATAGAATTTCGAATAGCAAAATTCTTGGACAGAATTACCAGCACAGAATTATTTCTTTTTATTAGATTCTGTTTCTACAAAAATAGGATGAAATTATATAGCCTTTTCAAAAAAATGAATTGGGTATGAGTGTTTACTATTATGAATAAGAAATTGTTTGGTACTTTACATTGCCTTCTTAATACTTTTGCTCTCTCTATTCAACCTTTTTGTAGGCAGATTAGTTTTGGTTGAAGCTAACATCTATGGTTGAATAAAAGAAGCATTGACACTGTTCTAGATCCTTTTAGGGCAACAATTGAATTGTGTTGAACTCCAGCAATCTAAACCAATTGAATTTTTATTTTTTATTTTTTTATGGTTTGTATAATTAGTTTTTGGGTTTGGGTTTGAACCTGCAAAATTTCATCAATGTGGTGAATTAATTGTCTATTTGTTGCTGAGAAAGTGGCAAAAATTTCATTAATGGGTTTAGGTTTTGGATTTTAGATTTTGATATGATAATCAATCTTTGCCTCTTCTCTCTCTCTCTCTCTCTCTCTCTCTCTCCCTCTCACTTTTTCCCCCTCTTTTATTTGGGTTTGTTTTTCTTTTTTCTTATTTGTTACTAACACAAAATTCTGAATAGCAAAATTCTTGGATAGAATTACCAACACAGAATTATTTCTTTTTATTAGATTCTGTTTCTACAAAAGTAGGATGAAATTATATTGCCTTTTTAAAAAAATGAGTTGGGCATGAGTGTTTACTATTATGAGTAAGAAATTTGTTTGGCACTTTACATTGCCTTCTTAATACTTTTGCTTTCTCTATTCAACCTTTTTGTAAGCAAATTAGTTTTGGTTGAAGCTAACTTCTATGGTTGAATAAAAGAAGCATTGACACTGTTCTAGATCGTTTTAGGGCAGCAATTGAATTGTGTTGAACTCCAGCAATCTGAACCAATTGAATTTTTATTTTTTTATGGTTTGTATAGTTTAGTCTTTGGGTTTGGGTTTGAACGTGCAACATTTCATCAATGTGGTGAATTAATTGTCTATTTGTTGCTGAGAAAGTGGCGAAAAAAGTAAAGAAAGTTAAATTTTGGTTACTATGATTCTTGGATTTTACTTAAAGATCTATTACGGTTGTATTTTGTCAAAATTAATATTTTTTTATTGGGTTTTGTACTCAATAGCAAGGGTTTCACGCACCATTAATCAACCTTTATTCAAGCACCATTAATCTATCTCATTATATTTTTTCTACCCTATCTTTAAGCAAGATTATCTTTAATGTATCTCTTTATATTTTTTCTACTGTATGTTTAAGCACCATTAATCAACCTTTGTAGTGACTTCGACTGCGGCAATGGAGCAGACTAAGGTTGTGGGTATTCGTTTTGGCCTTGCTGGCCCTGTTTCAGTGTCTTGGTCTTGCTAGCTCTATTCAAGGATATCCCAAATAGTTATTTTAATTAGTTAGTTATGTTGGAGACGTTGAAACCATGGGAAAAGCTACTGGAAACTTTAATTAATTAGTTTTGTTGATTAATTAGTTGATTTCCTTTTGTTGATTTGTATTAGATTTGTATTAAATCAGTTTCGATTGCTATATTTGTTTTAAATCAGTTTCTAAAGTCACCATTAATCTATCTCTTTTTTTTTTGAACAACCCATTAATCTATCTATTTAAGCACCATTATGTTTTTTGCCATATGATGTAGCGACTTTGATGGTGGCAATGGAGCAGACTAAGGTTGTTGGTATTCGGTGTTTGGGTATTCAGTGTTTTGTTCAATGAGATCCCAAACAGATATTTAATTAGTTAGTTTTGTTTAAACACTGGAGAAAGTTGTTGTAAACTTTAATTGGTTTTGTTGATTAATTAGTTAGTTTCGTTGCTAAAATTGTGATAGATTTGAACTATACTTTAGTTTTGTTTGGTTTAATGCTAAACATTGGTTTTGTTTTTTATTTTTTGCAATATTTGTTGGTAACAGGGTGCTTGGTTTCCATTGTAGGTTTAATGTTGTTGTTTCAGCTCCTTCCTCTCATCTTCCTCATTGTTTCCACCTCCTCACCATGGGTTTGAGACCAATTCAACTTTCTCCTCGATGTAGTCATCATAGCCCATTCTAAAGTCTCAACCATCACAATCTTCACCATGGGATTGTGGTGATTGCGAAACAACAATTGAGACTTGATATACAAAGTGTTTATGGACGACTGAAGCACTTAAAGCGATTTCGAGGCCATGATTCAATGGGTATCCTCCATCACAATCTATGGTCTCTTTCTTATTCTATCTCTATATTTGTGTAAACATTTTTCAATAATTATTCCTAAATTTTAATTTTTATTACTGTCGTTAATTAGAATAACACTGATAATCAGATTCTTATTGAAGCAGCCGCACCCTGCAATGCATTTGGCTGGATTATAGAGAGCTTCCAGCCATCAAGCAGGTTAGTAATTTTGTTATTATTATTAGCTTGTTTTACATAACATTTGTTTAGTAATTTGTTATACATAGCATTTGTTTTGTTGTCATTGGTATATGTCTGAATGAAGGTTACAATTACAGTCAATAGTGGTTCAAGAAGAGAAAACATATGTTTAGTTGCTTTATTACATTTATGTTATGGATTCCTACAATTTGTATTTGAAGATTTATCTTTGTGGTGTACTATATAACTATGTATATATTTGGATTGGTTGATTGACAAAACTATTTTTTTTTGTTTTTAATTTGCTTAATAGGCTCACATTAGAGAGCATGAGGAAGAAGTAAAACTTCTTTAGAACCTATCACATCCAAACACTGAGGTAAGTATCTGATTTGTATTCTTATTTAAGCAATGGTTGCTCATTTTGATTGTCTAACTTTTTCTTTTGATTGGTTGTCTTCCTTGACTCTACAAGTCTACGAATTAATCATCAATCATACTTGCTATTGAGTTGAAAAGTTGAATAAATTTTGAAGCAATGGTTTAATCTTTTCTTACAATTATCATACTTTGGGTATCAATTAGGGATTGATTTGGTATCAACTAGGCCATTTACAACTAGGGATTGATTAAGTCTCTGATACATGCAACATGAAGTTTTGATTGGGCATCTGGTTTTCTGATTGAGTCATAAATTATTGTCTTTTATTAATGATTTCAATTGGATGTCTGATATTGTCATGAGGGTTCCAAGGATGCTTTATTTCCGAAGAGGTGTAAGGTTTGAGCCCTCTTGAAGTTTTATTATTAGTTGGTGCACAACTCACTATTTCACCCTATTTTTCTCAGTGATTTGTTTGTTTTGCTTTGTGATTTGTATAGCAGGAAAACCTTGATCATGTAGATTTTTGTTATTGGTTAGATTCATTCCCAACTTTCTTCCCAAAACAAAGAGAACTTTTGGATATTGCTCTAAAACTTTCTAATTGCTTTGATCATGTGGATTCTTTGGTTGGGATTAATTTGAATTATGTTAGGAAGGTTTTTGATTGTGAAGAGAAGGAATAAACTGATATGTTGCATTTACTTTCCTAAGATTTGAATCAGAGAAAGAAAGAGAAACTTTTGTATAGTTGGGAATAAAGAGAAACTATTTGTAATGGGTTTCTCTTCAATTGATTGATGTTTGGTCCTTTCACTTTCTTTTTCTCTCTGTATCTCTTTGAGGTACATGTACGTGTGTTTAGCTAATATTTGTTTGGGTTCAGGAATTTGCTTACATTAATTAGCTGAAAATTACCTTGAAATTCTATTAGGTAGTTTCAATTATATTCTTAGCAATAAAATTTGATGTTATCTGCCACTTTAACATTAACAAAAAATACATCACTAAATTTTTCTTTCTTGGGTTAATAAAAATCCTGGCGGTATAATTCCAAAGGGAAGCATTATGCATATGATTTTTCGTTTCTTTTTTTTTTTGTAATTTTTTTAAAAAACTTCTATTAGTAGCCATGCCTATGAGCTTTATATCTTAATTACTATTCAATAATAATTTTTTGGCACTTCAATTTCTCGTGGGATTGAATTGTGGAGGTGCTAATATGACTCTTCTTTTTTTTTTTTCCTCTCTTGTGGGAACGTTGCTTAAGATTGGCATAGTTATGCTTATGTTTTTTTTAAAAGACACATGTATGAAAATTTCTATGTTACGGATGTGTTGTATAATATTCGTAGGTGTGTTTGGATCGTGGATTTTGGTAGGATTATGAAGAGAGAGAGTAAAAGAATTAGTGAAATGTGAATGGAATATAAACTAAATTATTTCTCTATTTTCCTTTCCCTTTCCAAATCCCTATTCATGATCCAAACACAGCGTTAGCATTAAAACAAAGTAGGAATGCAATTCCAAGCTTGATAAAATATTCAAATGAATGTTATCTTTTGTTGTCTATTTTGACATATGTAAGTCGTGGGTATTACACTTTAATTCCATTTGTTGTGGGGATATATTTTCTGAGTATCAACACGTGGCAAGGTGACGCCGACGTATCAGCCGAGGTGCCACGTGTCTTGGTCGTTGTACCGAGGTCATCTCGGCTAGGCCGAGGTTGCCTCCGAAGATATCGGAAACCGAGATAAGCGGATAAGGGACAAGAGTCCCAGAATGAAGAGGGAACTCAACTTGGATATGGACAAGAGTCCTACATTGGGAGAAGACTTCAGTTTGGGTAAAGATAAGACTCTTAGAGAGTTTATCCTAATCCCACTGGGAGTCCCAGATTAGCAGTAATCCTAAGTCCATTAGGGCCAGGCTCCTTTTGGGACTAGGATTGTATTGGCTATAAAAGAGAGGCACCCCCATGGGTCTAAGGTATGCTTTTGATACTCAAGCTTGTGAGTTTAGTACTTGATTTATCTTTGAGAGATATACTAACTTGATCGTCGGAGTGCCCCCGGGTGCGTCGATAACCACGCGGGAATCTTATATTTCTGTTACAGGTCAGTCAGGTGCCATCTATTCTGCCAGTGCTCTCCAGCTGGTTACTAAGCGGGCAGTGTGGTCGGAAAATCACCCACACAATTGGCGCCGTCTGTGGGAAGAAGAAGAATAGATGGCCAATGACGAACAGAATGACCAGATTAGAGGACTACGCTCCTGCTGGGAGTGGAAGACCTATTGATCTCGACGGTTGAAGGGGACAATAGCAACACAGACACTCGTGACCAGAGTCACGGAGTGAAAGAAGCCGGCCAGGAAGGTGACGCACCAAAGACAATAGATCGAAGCAACGAAGACGACGCTCCAGGTATGGAAGGATAGATACCTGCGGAGGAACGAAGACCCTTCCAGAAGGGATGCAAAGACAGGGGGCATGAGCGCTTCCAAGGAGATAACATTCAAGTATAGAAGAACTCATCCTGAGTGAGCAGATCCCGGATTTCAGATCCTGGATCCCGAATCTGAGAAGACATGATCTCAGCCTAGACAAGTAGGCCCGAGAAAAGAAGAGCTCAACCTGAGTGAGCAGATCCAAGATTCCAGAAGATAAGATCTCGGCACCTGACTCCGAGAAGAGAAGAGCACAATGAGCAGATCTCAGATCCCAGAAGATAAAAAGGAAACACACAAGATCAGACTAAAGTTGGTCAGAATTGAGAAGTATGTTAGGGCCGATGAGGACATGTCGGGAACAAAGGCGTCGGAACAAGAAAAGAGAAACGGCTCGCCGATGCGAGGCCGAAAATCAAACTCAGGTTGGAGCCAAGTAAGATCAATAGAGAAACCAAGGCCGGCAACCTCGGCTTGAATTAAACCTCGGCGACAAGGTCGAAGCTATATGTATGATGAGAACCCAAGTGAATTTTAAGTTCACACTGGGGGGCAGAGAAAAGAAGAATGCGTTTACCACTTGTTGAAATTTGTAACAATTTACAAGTTGGTTAAACCAATATGATGCTTAACAGAAGTTAAGCCGAGATAATGCTTAACCGAAAGCCGAGATGATGCTTAACCGAAGTTAAACCGAGACGATGCTTAACCGAAGTTAAGCCCAGATGATGTTTAACCGAAGTTAAACCGAGACGATGCTTAACCGAAGTTAAGCCGAGATGATGCCTAACTGAAGTTAAGCCCAGATGATGTTTAACCGAAGTGAAACCGAGACGATGCTTAACCGAAGTTAAGCCGAGATGGTTCCTTATCTTCATTAAGCCCAGATGATGTTTAACAGAAGTGAAACCGAGACGATGCTTAACCGAAGTTAAGCCGAGATGATGCCTAACTGAAGTTAAGCCCAGATGATGTTTAACAGAAGTGAAACCGAGACGATGCTTAACCGAAGTTAAGCCGAGATGATGCTTAACCAAAGTTAAGCCGAAGATGATGTTTAACTGAAGCTAAACTGAGATTATTCCTTAATTCACTTGTTGAAATTTGTAGCAATTTACAAGATAATGTTAAGCCGACATGTGATCATCTGTTGAAATTTGCAGCAATTTACAGGTTGAGGTAAAAGCTAAGTATATTACACTTGTTGAAATTCGTAGCAATTTACAAATAGATTATTGTTTAACACTTGTTATGTTAATCCTTGTTGATCCCTGTTATAGTATATGTTAATCCTTGTTGAAATTTGTAGCAATTTACAAGTAGACTAAACCGAGATCACTGTTTAAACACTTATTGAAGCTTGAGACAAAGTTTGCAAAGTTAACATTGAGTAGTATATGTTTCACGCTTGTTAGAATTTATGAAAAGTTTGCAGGTCAGTATCTTGCTGAAGTAAAAGTTTTGTAGCTATTATACCCCGAGGTATGTAACCCCGAGAAGATTGCACAAAGGAGGCAAAGTATGAAAGGCATACAAAATATTCTAAGTATAGAATCAGGCAAGAGTAGTTAGAAGAAGATCAAACCAGAATTCGTCGTGATTGACACGCCTTCACCTTACAACATCATCTTGGGAAGGCCATAGTTGCATGCAATGGGGGCAGTTCCCTCAACGTTGCATCAACTATTGCGGTTCCCACAGAACATGGGATTGATGAAGTCTGAGGAGACCAACTGCAGGCAAATAATTGCTCCATGGCAGCAATGAAAACTACCTGCAAACATTCGGGAACCAGGGAAGGCAGAGATTGAAGACGAGGACATGGAGGTCCTAGATGATGTCGGCAAGGAGCCAACCGAAAAGAGTGAAGAGACACTGAAGAAAATCCTCGTCCAGGAGGGTGACGAAGAGCGCTTCTTTCTTCTCGGCTCAGCTTAGCCGAAGAAGAAGAAAGAGAATTGAAAACAAAACTACTCGGCATCAATGGCAAGATATAAAAGACAGTTGGGAAGACTTCTCAGCAGCCTTCTCGTCCTCGAGCTCAGCCTCAATCTCCTGAAGAGTTTGATCAAGGCTCTTCTCGGCGATTGGCACCTCGGAGTTTGAAGGCAAAGATTGAAAGCAAGAATCTGGAAAAAGACACAGAAAATAAAAACAAAAATGTAATCCGTAATCAAGAATGGTGATGAAGCTATCAGGAAATCAAGACAAAAAGATTGCACAAGTATGTCAAGGCAAGAACAATGGCAGAAATCAATAGATGTGTGAACAGTGTATATTCAAGAAGATGATATGGAAACAACGGGTAAAACAGCAATGGTGATTAACAATGAAGCAGAGCTTCTTGGAAAGCAACAAGAAATAAAATCAGGAGGAAAAGTGGCTTACTAGAAAGAGGGAAGCCGGAATGAGAATTGCCGAAGTCTGACGACGGATGCGAAAATGACAGAATAACGTAAGCTTCACCGGAGGAAAGGAACGAAAACAATTGCAGAGCTTGAAAGCTTGGAACAATGACGGATTTAAGCAAAAGAGC